TATCAGATTTAAATGTTCTGCATATTTGAATTTTTTCTACGCACGAGTAATCTTCACTTTTCTTACATACGATCAAGTTTCACATAAGTCCAAAGTTTCACACCAGACAGTGTTATTTTCAGTTCAATAATTTTTTTTTATAATTTATGTCGGTATTTTGCATAAAGGTTGTTGAACAGCTCTAGTAAGATCATTAAAATACTTGGGAGTGCATACAAGTACATACATTGAGTGATACATATGGGAAGAAAGCAAGATTTGAAGGTTTAAAGAAGTGGTGTGTAGTGTAAAAGACCTTAGGATAAGATAAAGATTGTGGTTGTATTAAATTGTTGGCTAATCGATGATTGATTGATGTCATTATATATTTTTGTCAATATATATTATATCATATAAATGGGTCCGTCAGATCAATATCAAATTGACAATAATGTTGTAAGTTTTCTCACAAGAAACAAACAAACAAAAATGCCTCCGATAAAGGAGCAATAGGCTTGAAATATGAGACGTTGAAAACTAAATATAGACCATTCTGATCTGAACCAGTTTTAATTTCGTTACTGTGTTGTTGTTTGAATATAATTTCCTTGTTTTGTTATCCATAGCTAATACAGGTACATGCAGTACATTCAAATTGTATGTCATTTTGAATATTGTCTGATTCTTGCTTATCGCAATAGGTTTTTCGTGTTCTTATCAGGGTGTATCTTCAGTTTTTCCCCTTAAGCATAATTGAAGAGTTTAAAGACAACAGTTTTCACACATAACATTTAATATGTTATAACCGATGCATTTGAAAATAAAAAGTGTAATGATAAAAGGACCGGGATTGCCCGAGGCTGAGCTGAAACAGTTTATTATTAGGAAGGCAATTTGCTTATACATACGATTATGTCTCGTTAATTTGTCACTAGCCAGTACTTACTGTCATAATGGGAACAGGTCGGTTACACTGACAAACTGAAAGGTGCAGCATCAATACGTAGTTCAGCTTGTTGATGTCATTGTTTGTTTGTTATTATCAAATACTAGAAGTATGTACCAGTATGACATTTAGGGTAATCCATTCACTTTTTGTAAGCTGTCAGAAATGATTTAAACATGATATATGAAATGCAAACAACTAGACGTTTTAGTAAGTAGCGGAAGTTGTCGCATATATATAAAGCCTGTTGGGTCATTATTAGAACCTCGGTCATTATTAGAACCTTGTGCAGATCTGCATAAGTACTGTTTCAAAACACTAAAAGGCAGTGAAGTATAATCAGTGTGTATGCCTGTTACAGTGTTGAATGGATCGAGTATGAAAATTATTGAAACATGATTAATATAGATTGATTGCTGGTGTCAATTTACTCCATATGTCATATATCTGCACGTAGGTTAATTATATAAATATATATTCATTTTATTGTACGCACCATTTGAGATGGGTTTATTAAGATAATTGATTATAGAATACATGCATAGACAAATATATCAGAAATAGAGTTCGGTATCTGGTCATAACCTGTAATTAGTCAACTTTTTATTCCATCATAAATTTTTCTAATTGCCTGGGGCTTTAAAATTTGCATTTCCAAACTTCTTTGTCAAAACTTTGCATTTCCTGACTTCTTTGTTTTAAGTTTGCATTTCCCAGGCTTGTTTGTTTAAAGTTTGCATTTCCGGACTTCTTTGTTATGCAATATGATGAAGTTGTTGAAGATATACATACATGTATGTATATGTATTTTGCTCAAAATCTGTGACTTTTCTAAACAATAATCTTTATTGGTTATACCTAATACTTTTTTAAGCACACATAAACATTTGCGCGAACCTCAGTTTATAAGCTAACCTAAAATGTACATGTGTTTTACCCAGCATGTGATGTAAAAATTTTTAAACAAGGCGCGAAATTTTGTTACACCTGCTTGAAACCTAGCAACCAATATGTATGCAGTCAGGTATTTCAAAAAGATCATGTCATATTTTAATTTATGCTGTTTCATAATTTAGTGATATTGTTTCATGCATATTTTGATTGAGTGTTGTTGAGAAAGATTTTTCTACTTCCTGTTAAATAAGTCTACAAGAAACTTTTTTAATCAATAAAAAATGTGATATAAAGGCAATTACTCTTGAAATCTATTTATGTATATAACTAGATTTATCCACTTAGAAAGTTGTAGATAATTGTGCAGTAGTCTGATATACTTTAGTGATTCATTGAAAGGTGTATCGCAAAGGAATCTTTTATACAAATATTTGAATATTTACTTTAAATATTTGAAAATTAGCTAGTATTTCCCGGGTGTAAAGTTTAGTATCAGAGAATGGTATCTGATATATTTGCAGTGTATGGTAGATTTGTTTAGAAAATGAAAAGTTAAAATTTGCGTAATCAGCATTTTTAATTACTCTGTCATGCAAACTCCAGTAAGATTGCTTTTTCTTAATTGAAGTCTAAATGAAGTCAAAATGAGCCATAAACTTACTTGACTAAGGAATATTCTGTTTGAAACTAAAGAGTAGATGATGTAAAGGACAGCTTCAGGGTCTTTTAACTGTGCCATCATTCAAATGTTGAATTTCATAATTCATTAATCGTAATCACTCATTCTCGGGTTGTTTTGATGGAATTTTATGCTGATTAATCTTGTATCCAGGCCCAAGAGAATACATATAAAATTGTATATATACATGATTATCCTCTGAGTTGTCAGATGGCATGAACATTTGTATGCAGATATTCCAGGAATTTAGTTATGTACCGCTAGGTAAGGCAAACATAGACTTCCTGAAAACCATTGGAATTTCCGAAGTTTGGTATCATCTGTTACTGTTAAAAAAGTTTTAAAGTTGTTAGTGAACTGTAAATGAAACAATTTAGTTCACTAACAATTTAGAGTATATTATTAATAAAGGAGAGAAAACTGAAAGATTATTTAAAGCACACTTGAAGTTGAGTCCACTTAATAGAACCTGCCAGTTCTTGTGTCATATGTTAACGAAACATTGTCATGACTTCAGTACAGATCGAACCCACAATCCCATGGTTGTGAGGCAGACACCGTAACCAATGGTCACATCTGCCCTGTAAAAGTTAACCAATGGTCACGTCTGCCCTTTAAAAGTTAACCAATGGTCACATCTGCCTTGTAAAAGTTAACCAATGGTCACATCTGCCCTGTAAAAGTTAACCAATGGTCACATCTGCCTTGTAAAAGTTAACCAATGGTCACATCTGCCCTGTAAAAGTTAACCAATGGTCACATCTGCCCTGTAAAAGTTAACCAATGGTCACATCTGCCCTGTAAAAGTTAACCAATGGTCACATCTGCCCTGTAAAAGTTAACCAATGGTCACATCTGCCCTGTAAAAGTTAACCAATGGTCACATCTGCCCTGTAAAAGATATACTTTAAAGGGATGAATTAAACACAAAGCATAATGATGAATTGTAACATTTTTTCCTAAAACACTAGGTTGTTTGTGTATACATGCTTCAGAGAAAACCAGATGCAACAAACCACTCAAGACTGGTATTTCTATTCAGGAAATGTTATAGTGAAACTGTGATCTGATACTTGACTTGTATACTCCTGTGAAATATTGTACATTTAAACCATGAATATATAAATCTTGTGGGGTATATATTATAGATCATACTTTAAATATGTTTTGATAGGGAGGAGGTAGTGTCGACCCTCATTAAAAGTAGATATTAATCCTAACACTGTATTATGCTTGGTTGAATAATGTATGTGGAGAAAAGTTTACAGCAAGTATTTTGATGCTGACAATACAAAATATTTTCACCATGAATGAAACTTATTGTAAACCTTTTAAAGCAAGTATGTGTATTATACTGTAATTTATCTATATAGGCCAGGGGTAAAGAATTTGATAGCTTCTTGTTTGCAGCTTAGAAGTTGAATAATTTTAATTTCATTGCAAAATCTTGGTTTAATGTTTTGCGAATGGTTATTTTGTGTTAAAACTTGTAACAGGTTTTTCTAAAAGTATTTCTCAAGGACATTTCTCTCAAATATTGTTGCAATATAAGTTCTCAAATATAAGTTATTACAGTCAGTTGTAGGCCACTTGTACATTTTCATAGTTATTTTATTTTGTTTGTTCATCTTGTTTGTACAAAGGGGTGGTGATTGTTTGTTTAAAATGTGATAGATAACTTTTCATGGGGTGTTATTTTTTTCTCAGGGAGGTTAACTATTTTTACACCCTATACAATGTGCATGAGCATGCCTGTGTGAACTACAAAGTTTTCATAGCTTAGTAGGCCCTTAAGCGGAAATATATCGGTATCCGGAAACAAACATATCATTTGACCCGTTTGCTACAGCTGATTAATGTGTGCTTAAAGTTGTCAGTCTGGGCTTAGGCGCTTTAGGAATTTGGGTAATTTTGAAATGTAACATTTTACACACACACTGTGTTCAGTGTTATGTGGGAAACAGTAAAATGATTTATTGTTAAGTACAGGTGTAGAGGGATAAGAAAATGTTTTTATTCCCCCAAATACTCTTATGAGATATCACGATTTGGTGAGATGTCACGAAGTAAATTAAAATTTGCTGCAGGTTTTTTATGATAGTGACTCATTGAATTATACAGTCGGTTTAAGTTAACATGCACCATGATTGAGTAAATGAACTCCTGAAAGCGACCTATGCTGAAACAATTACCAATTTTTCTGCATATGTAATTTTTTTTTTTATCAAGATGGCTAAAAGATTAAGACTCTGAACCCGGAAAATATAAATTATGTATGTTTACTAATGTATGAGTTTGTAGTTTCACTTTGTATTATCTGAGGTTAAATTTTTATGTTAATATTTTAAAGTTAAAACTGCCATACTTTTATGAAATACATCTCCTGAGCATTGAAATCCTTTCACTTTATTAAACTTTCTGCCATGTTTATTTTGATTCTTTTGTGGTTTTGAAAAGAATATTCAATTAATGTGTGTGTTATTTTTTTCTGTGACCTTACAGGCAGAAGATGAAATCAAGGGCTACACTAGGCGTATCCAACTTTTAGAAGATGACCTTGAACGTACACAAGTCAAGTTGGACGAAGCCACCTCTAAGTTGGAAGACGCAACCAAAACAGCAGATGAGAGTGAAAGGTAAAATATTACACATGCAGCAGTGGTTCTGGTATTTCCAACGAGCTTGTGATCTCCATCTTAACCTTTGACCTGCAAAATTTGCGTATTTGATTTGACTGTTTCGATCTGGAACAGTCCGTCACTGTAAATTTGCGTCTTTGATTTGACTGTTTCGATCTGAAACAGTCCATTCACTGTATTAAGGATAGTAATATCAAAAGACAAAAGTACGGCTACCAACAGTATGAAGCCTTTTCAGACTGCACGGTTTTGCTGGCTGAAATGTCTTCTATATTTGTGGTACCACTTTTTGTTTCCAGCAGGTTAAGGGTTTAGAATAAGGCAGTTCTTTCCTGAATCAAGATTTTATTAAATTTATTTTTAAAAATATTTAAGAAATTCAAAGCTGAAATATATAGATCTGCATTTAGTATCATCATCATGTGTTATCATTAAAGCTGCATAAATTTAATTTTATACATCACTGAGCTGGTTTGATTTGCGCTTTTAAGAGATTCAAGTGCACCTTTTCATTTATTTGAAGAAAAAAAATTAAAGTAATTGATACTATGGGTCTAGGATCTTTCTGTTTCAACTATGTCTAAGCTGTGTAGGTAGTTTTAAAACAGCTTAATAATGAAAATTATACTTATTTGAAAAGACAAGGACTTTACATTCTGTGCAGTATTTACTGTACATTGTATATATCTATATAAATGTAATTTATATCTATACCTATATATTTGTTTTACATATGATCATATGATATATTTTATATATGCCGATATTATTTTTAATCCCAAGCAAAGTCAAATTTGAGAATTCATGTCTTACAGTGGTACAAAATTTTCATTCAATGGACATTTGCATGATTCACAATAATTTTTCATTGGACAAAGTACAAACTTCATGAAGATGCAGGATTCATCTCTTCCTTAAAATTTGATATCGTGAGAATAAGCCTAGCAGATATTCTGCTATCTGTGGTGTATTTCCATGTTTCATCAGCCACTGATGCTTATAAAGTTATAATATTCTTTTACCACTGGGCATTACATATTGATCTGTAATGTATTTGTCAATAATATTGATCACTTCCCGGAAAGGAATGCAGGGGGGCTTTAACCATTTCACAGATAGCTTGCTTTTTCCAGTCGGGATAAGTTCCAGACACCTAAATTGATGAAAATTGCAGAAGAAATTAATAAGCTATAAACTGTAGAAGAAATAAAAATACATAAGTTCTTAATTTTTTTATTCATGTACGTTCTTGATTTTCCTGATATTGAGGGTTAAGTGGACAATCAGCACACCTTTTAAACTCTTTGCCCAATCTTATTATGAAGAATACTGGTGAGGGGACATAATACTAAATTTAAAGCCTTTGGAGTAAGCTCCCCTTGTAAGCTGCTAATAGAATAATATGCTTAACTTTTCCCTTTCACATCAATTACTTGTCAATTGAATGATTGAAAAAAAATTGTACTTTGAAAGTTTGTTAATCATTTAAATTTCCAAACTGGAAGAACTATATTCTAAATTAATTAATTACTTAACCACTGGTAAAACTTGGCTTAGCTTACCACAACTGCTTGATATTATATTATTTGTATGTTATTTGGTAATATGGAATATTTCTATAACATTATATTTGGTTTATATAATATCAATAAATATTTTAGATTATATAACATTGTATTGCATGAACATTTCAGTTTCTGACAGCCTTCATTGCATTATTTTGGTTTTGCAAATTGCGCTTTTGTTTTAAATAAGTTTTATTTCTAGCAAGCATACAGTACTCTTTTGAAGAGTTTTTGGATAGGTAAAATTACATAGGCATACAAATTAGAGAATGGAAAAGGCGGGGTGAAAAGAGATCTGTTGATACCTCACAGAAATAGTTCAGTTTATATATGAATGAATTAAAAACTGTGGAAAATATTTATCAGATGCTACTGTAGTGGCAAATATCTGTCAGGAAATCTATGTTTGATACTGCTTAAAATAGAATCTTGTTTGATAAAATGAGTGGATTTTTGGTTGTAAATTTCCTGCACTTTAAAATTCTTTCCTGGGGGGGGGAAGAAGTATGCTTTTGTTACCATGGTAGTGGTATATGTATGTAAGTGAAGGTGTCAGAAGCTGTTTTTATGGCAGCAGGTAACAGATTAATCACTGGGAGTTTCAGGGAACATTTTTTTTTATCTCAATGGTTTTGATAATAGAAGTTTGCTAACATTATGTATATAGCTGCCAGGTGATGGATATACAGAGCGTCTGCAAGGAAATTAATGGGTGGAAGTTATTTTTAGAAATTGTTCAAATGACTCACTCATGTAATTCTTGTATTTACCTATGTACTGATATACATTATATGTTTTACACACTGCATCATGCCAGTACTGTTTTGCTAGCAAGCTAATCCAAACAACCAACAATATATTACAACTACTTAACACAATGCTTATCTCAATATATATTATTTGACTTATTATGTTTTCAATGTCGCACACATGTTTATCTTCTATAATTATATGACAGTTGCTTTCTTTTGCATTGATCCTATTCAGTTGGGTTAATTAATTCTGGCGTTCTTTCCAGTAAATATTATTAGGTTCATTGAGAAAGACTTGTAATCACTTAAAAAGCTTTTTTCTCTTCATTGCCTGATTTCCTTGGTGAATAACCTTGACTTTCAAGATTTAAAAGTCCAGATATTGTGACCTTTAGCTTTAATGACCCTTGCGTCTGTAAGAATTTCCCCTTTTTCAGTGCGGAGGGGGACGTGTATTTTTAAGGGTCATTCTACCTGTTTAACATTATGCAGCTGATCAAGTTTATCCAGGTAATTTTAATAATCATCTTGGACTGTTTGGCTTAGGACCAGTCCATTTGTTGTTTTAATGTTTAATGGCCTTGACTTATCAATACTGCAAGTATGGTCTGGCTTTATTCTTGGGGTTTTGGGTCTGTAACTCAATGAGATGCTGGCCAGTGAAAGGAAGCAACTGTCATTGTGGTCCATGTTTGTTTTTACTTATTTAATTAGTTTAATATACATTTTATGAAGCAGCATGCCATTTTAAGCTTTAGAATGTTCACAAATATACTTTATTATGGACCTTTATGTACTGATAATTTATGTTTCACTACAGTTATTATGTACCTTCTGTATACTTCTGTAGTCTACAAAGTAGGTTAAAGCACTTGTCTTTTATGAATCCTCAAATTGACCAAAGTTTCTAAATAATTTCTTAAGGGAAGCAAAATGCGCTTGGCTGTGGGTTAAATTGTTTTCCTTTTTAAAAAAAAAGCATTGTCTGCGCTTAACCTGATAGAAAGGATTTTATTTCTTATTCTGTCCCTGGAAATGATTTCATGCTCATGAGACTGCTTATCAATGTTTAACGTCATTTGACAACCAATGAAATCACTTTAAATTTGAAAATCCTATCCACTGCAAAATAAGGATATTACAAAATAACTTAAAATTTCAATTATTTGGATTGATAAATGAAATTTCATGAATGGCATTACAAGATTTTTTTGGACCGTTTTTAAACTTTATTTGCTTGAAACAGTTCTTACCATGCAATATTGATAATATTCCAGTGTCTGAAGTAGCTCTGAAAAAAGATAAAACAAGCCTTTGGGTCAAATGACGTTTGAACACCCAGCACGTTGGTATTCATTTAGTCAAATTTTAAGTTAAAGTATGTTCGGTCTTTTGGTATCTGTCATTCCATACAAGTTTCTAAAATCTTGACTAAATGAATGCTAGTTACTGCTAAGAAATTGCTAGATATTCTTGTCCCAATATAAAATTGATATAAAGTTTTATGCGCCCTATATATACTTTTGGGTAGTTAATTTGTCAAACCGACATTGCATGCTGCCTCCTGTTTGTAGACAAAGAAGAACTTTGGATTCTCGCAGTAAGATTGATGAAGATCGCAATGAGGAATTGGAGGGTCGTGTTAAAAAACTTGAAATCATTGCCAATGAGGCAGAGACTCGCTATGAGGAGGTAGGTTTCCATGGCAATGAACGCTCTTGATTAGCTTGCTGGCAAAAAATGGTCATGTGATAGTGAATCTGACGCTTGCATGGTACGGCAGTCAATATTTAGGGTGGTTTGGGAAAGCAGGGTGGTTTGGGAAAGCTGTGGGCATGGACTATTCCGTTTTGAGTTAACATTGAAAATAAAAGCTTTGTCAAGATTCACTGTGAATTCATAAAGATTTCATAAGATTCCGAAAAAACCTCTCTTTGGTTTTTCTTCGGGGTTTGATGAAATCGGAAAGAGAAAACACATGCAAATTTTATTAAAACCAGTAGTTACTTCTCTAACAAATTTTCGTTTTTGAACAGAGCTAGGAGAGGATTAGAAAACAGAAGTTACTTAGATGAAGGGCGTATGGAAAAATTAGAAACAGGTCTTAAACAAATGGAATTAATAGCAAATGAAGCAGAAAGTAAATACGAAGAGGTAGGACTAGATAATCTTTGTCATTGTCACAAGATTCATACTGTTGTGATCCATTGGAAAATCAAGAGTTCTGGATAAGATTTCTTTTCTTAAAAGAAAAACAACAAAAAAAACACACACACACAAAAATCCACCAATGTTTCTATCACTATTGATATTGATTAGGAAACAGATACAAAATCTATGAATTAAATGCCCACACCTTAATATGGATGATACAGTTAGACATTCAGATCAGTGATTTCCAATGGATTGCAACTGTTGGATGATGTTTATTGAGAAACAATTAATGTTACAGTTTTTCCCCCTTCAGAAACAGCAGTAGACTCAAAGGCAGTGTACAGGTTATAACAACTGGCAAGAAAGCGGCAGGATGTTTGTTTGTACTTTTATATTTTTATTAAATTTACTTTAAAAATTTCTCTAACAGAGGACGCAAGGTACTCGAGAGCAGAAGCATTGCTGATGATGATAGAATTGATGCATTAGAAAAACAAGTGAAAGATGCTAAATATGTTGCTGAGGAAGCCGACCGTAAATACGATGAGGTGAAGAATCGAATGCCGCATGAGAATGAAATACGCCCACGTCCCTCTTTTGAATTTTTTATTTAGTCCAATGTTTATAAAAGAAGAAAAAAGATTTAGTTTGAATGGAATGCAACTGTTTGTCATAATGTCTGATAATGATATAAAAAAGTGAAATTTGTAAACTTGATTCAAAGAAATAATAATAGTATTTGATTTTTTGAAGATTAAGTAAAATATTAAAAGTATTTTCTTGCTTCGATCTATAATGTTTCACAAAAAAGTAATATTTAAAGAATTTAATTCACAGTATAGATTCAGATGAAATTGACTATTAAAGTTATTAAAGAAAAATTGCTACTATTTACATGTATATACTAATAAACCCATCAATGTCCTAACAGTCAGTGTTTTTTTGAACACGTTTTGAATGTATAATAATTATTATGTCATTTGAAAATTTGGGAGATGAATGTCAGGAACTAATTTTCTTACAGTTTTGACAGCATGAATGCAGTTTTACCAGAAAGCGACCAGTTTCCGTAGTATTAGTTCTTGTTTCAGCATATTTTATACAAAATCTCCTCAAAAAGGGTTTAAAAATCAACATAATATTTAGCTTAAGACTGTACATTTGACTTATAAGTGTCCTAGTTTTGGCTAAAATGTGCTAAAAAGGTTTCAATATTTTATGAATTTTTTATCGTGAAGTATTTGAATTGTCAGAAGTAATTTTGTTTCTAATAATTAGATGCTTTGAAGTTTTGAACACGAAGAACATAGTTACATTTTGGGGAGATTTTGTTTTTGTATTGAAAAAGACCATTAGAAAATGTAAATTTCCGCCAGACAAAAAAAACTTCCTTAGTATGAACATTGGAGAATTGGCTTTGTTCTCATGATATTAGGCAGAGATATGCATTTTCTGAAGGTTTAAATGCATTTGTATTTTAGAGTATGTTTTATTAATTGTCCATCAAAGATCTGACTGGCAAAGAAAATAATTTTGAATAGCCAGTTTTGTATTTTAAAATGACAAACTTTTAAGCTGCTGAATTTGTATAATGGTTTTGCTCAGCTTTGAAGTTGGAACAGTTTTCATTCAAAGTTTAAGGGATTTCAATAACAAAATGCAAAAATTGAGCTACGATTACTATAGAGCCTGGTCAGACTTAACAAATGTGCAGGCTGGCTTGCCTGTAGTCTATATACAACTGTTGGTTAAAGCTAAACTCTTAAGGGTCCAGAAGATTTAGGGTTAAGTTCCACAGTAACGATAAAGATGTCAAGAGAAATTTCGTATAAAAATATCACCAGTAGAGAATACTCAGTTAATGCTTTAATCATATTCATTGTCAAATGCTTGTTTCAGCAAATAAGAAAGAACTTTATTATCTTGTCAGATCTTTGAGCTATTAACTAATTTGCATCATGTATAGACACACTGAAAACGATTTTCATTTTAATAATTCACTTACATTTCAACAATGGTCAGGAAATTTTCATTGTTATTATATAATGAAATTTAGCATTGTACTTGACACTTTGTGAGAAAGAGTGTGACAGGTTGAAAGATCTCAAATCTAATAGGTTACAGTTGAGTGAATTTGCTTTATCGGATTTTCAACAAACCAGGAACAAAAAAGAATCATTCCATAGATTTCTTTCAGGTTGTTAACAAGAAAGTCATTTTCAGTGTGTTATTTAGTAGATATGAAAATCCTGACTTAGTGAAGGAGCTTTATTTGAATATTGTAAAATTATTTATATCTAAGTACTGTAAGTTTTCATTTCTTTAAATATCAACCCTGAGTCTTTCTTGATTTTGTACTTACCATACCGGTAATTTGTTCAAAAGAAGTTTTGGATATAGCCATATTGTCTGATCTAATAGACAGAATGATTTTACAATATATGTTTGATGCAAAACATAAAAATTGTGTATGAAGAAAATGAATGATTGTTTTAGACTGTAGAAAAGTATTGAAAATAAAAAGTCCTGAGCATGCATATTAGGGTTATCGTATCCTAAAAAATGAACAAAAAAATGTCAAAACTGTTCCAAATGTAAGGGTACAAATTTTGCTAACCGCATAGAATCAAGGTCAGCTTGCCTAGTTGTGTAGTCAAACTAGATCTCTTAAACAGTCAGCTGCTTACTTTGGTCCCATTAAATTGATTTAATTTAATAAATTTATGATTGGAAATTTCAAGCCTAAATAATGATATTTAATAAACTTGAATAGATTATCTTTATCGTTAAAACGAGGAACAGTTTTGAATTTTCTTGTACCCAACACCCCATTTGTCTATTCTGCATGAGGCATGGCTCGTTTACCCCACACGTGTGTTGCATGGTACAAAACCTAACCATTTTGGTATCACACACAAAGAACGTGGACGTAATCAAGCTGTGTTCTCTACCCTCAGGCTGCCCGTAAACTTGCTATCACTGAAGTAGATCTTGAACGCTCCGAGACCCGATTGGAAGCTGCTGAAGCGTATGTATCAATTCTTACAAACTGTCAAAAATATTTTCGGCCGGTGTGAATTTTTCATGCACCCACTGCTGTTCAAATGTACTAATTTTGTAAATGGAATATATACCATTTTGGGAAAGTTCAGTCCAAACTGTCATAATAAGTTAAAGAGATATGGTTTATTTATTAGATCATTTCGTTTATGCATAAAAGTTCAGTCAAAGAAATGCACGCCCACTTCTGCTTTGAAGATAACATATGAAATTTTCTGAAAATGGGAAGTTAACCTAAGTGGGAATATCCTTGTAGGTTGTAAAGCAGTCCTTTAAATAGTAGTGAGTGCAAGATTAAATCATACACGCTGTACATGTTTTATATTATTGATTATTGATTTATATAAACAGCTATGTTGAAAGCATTTGTCCTGTAAAGAAATGACTCAGGATGAATGGTTTTGAAATCATAGCAAAGTGAAATGAAAATGACTGCCTCATCACACGTTTCCAATTTTCATAATAAATTTAGTGTGCTCGGAAATTGGTTGTAGCAGAAAGTGCGTGTGAACGTGCAGAAGATCAATTATCAGCATGCCAGAGGTACGTTGCACAATGTAACAAAAGTAATCAGCAGTTTACACTGCACTTGTGGTGCTTATCTCCCTTTTTAACTCTTCTTCTTTGGTCTATTGGTGTAAAGGTGTATTATACTCTGTGCAATTAATCCCCATATATAAAGAAGAAATTAATGCTACAGCATTGTTTAAAATTATTTATCATGAAGACAGTATCAACAATTTACTGATTTATTTTTATTACGGAAAATATCCTGATAATCTTATGAATTCATTTAAATAACAGATATATTTTATCCATTCATTCCAAAAAAAATTTAAGGTGTATAAAGCAATATATCAGCTGCAGTAATAATTGCTTAAATTTTGAAAAAGAATAATTTCACGATGTCTGTATGAAAGGTATAATTATGTTAATATGTTTCTGTAAAAATGAATAGGGCATGCACAAAATCATTGCTTAGTGTTAAGACTTTACTTAGAAAAGCAGCATAATATTTTGTTCCTGAGCATTTTATACTGGTTACATACAGTATTCAAGTGTCTTAAAATAACTGAGACACAGTCCATATACAACTTCTTTGGAGAATCAATGATAAGATTATGGAAACAATATGTTATTGTGAATACATTTCATTAAATATAGCTTTATACCCTTAAAGTGTTAGAAATTTCGTATACAGTATAATTTTGAATATTTGTCTTCATGGTATGTTAACACTTTGCAGATTCAAGTTTCTATAACATAGTCTATTTTTCTTCTTCTCACACTTTTTGCTAAACCTGCTAGTTATTTATTATCATTTTCTTTACATATAAATTACTTGTATCTTCTTGATAGGAATATAAATATCTTTTTAAGTGAATTGAGAATTTATTGCCAACTTTGAAAAAAAGGTCATGTAGAAATTCCATGCTTATTTAAGAAAATATAGTCTTTAAGTAAAGATTTCAATACATGTATTTTATTGCATTCGTTTCAATATGATTAACATAATTTCTAATATTATGGGATAACAATGAAATTACTTGTTTACAAGTTTGACTACCCATAAAGAAAAATATCATATTGAGTTTCCTTTAAATGCATTTAAAAGCATATGTAAGCATTAAAGTTTTAAGAAAGTGTTTGTAATGCAAACAAGGTATTTGATGGGTGTGATGAACATGAAATAACAAATTTGTTGGTGATCATGAATAACATATTTCTATGAACCTTTGAACTAGAGCTTGGAAGTGGTGTTTCACATATAATTGGACTTATATTGGTATAATGTTTGTTTAGAAATATTGGTGAATGGTATGTCAAAAAGCATCTCTGGACACTTTTTAAAGCTAAAGATGTAACAGAATATGACTTAAATTTCAAAGAACGATGTTTCTGTTTTGCTTAGATAAATGATCAAGTTAAGTGTTTTGTTAGTAAGCTTATAAACAGGAAAATTAAGTATATTTTGCAAGTTTGATTTTTTTTTACAGAGTTTTTAAATGTCCTGATAATCTTGTTCAAGGATGGTTTGTGGCATACTTGTTCTGTTCTCTTTGCAGGTTCTCTTTTCTTACCATTTTATATGATCTTTTTGTTCTTTTATGCATGTATCTTAAGTTACTGAAGATGTTTAGCATGTAACACATAGTTTTATAATCAACTTTTATTAGTTTCATACGGCACAGTGTAAGAAAATCATGTAAGATTTTATTAAAGAAGCAGATACTTATAATACTACAATGCAAAATAGAAAAAGGCATAGATTAGATTTAAGATGTCATTCTATTAATTTAGAATTTTCTGAAAATATTTATTTTAATGACTATTATTTGTGGTAAATTTCATAAAGGCACTGTGCTGTACACATTTTGTTTGATATTATAACCTCATCTCTGTCATCTATCTCACTGAGAGCAAACTGTTGGTGGTCTAGTGAAAGATAAGATACCAGTTTCCTTGAAAAACTACAACACCCCTCCCCTTAAAAAACAACCGCAAAGAAAACCCCACAACAACATGCAAACTATGCCAATGTCAGCTTAGGATAGCATAGGACAGAGCAGATCCTTGCAGCTGAATTGGATTGATTGTACATTTAGTTGATACTTTTATATTTGTATATTAGCTAACCAGAGCATAACCCCTTTTGGCAAAGAACACCTTGCAAAATCTCTTGTAAACTCGTGAGCCACCTAGGACCTTTTTATGGTTATCAAAGCTCTTCTGTGTTTCATGTATGATTGTAACTGACCTACGTTTAGAGAAGGGTGAAACCATGTATGGAAATCTGTAAATTTACCACTGTGATGTACCAGTACAGTTTGTTCGAAGACGAGATTGAAACCCTCTTTGTGTTAACAGCTGCTTATACTTAGTATATTGCAATGATGCCTTCATTAATTTTACTAAATTCTTTTAAAATTTCATCAGCTATAAGTAATACATTTAGTAAATTTATGCAGAATAATGATGTGTTTTTTCTCTCACTAATGAAGGCATCTTTAAACGTTTGTTTGTTTTTCAAATTGAAGAAAAAAAATTCTTACCCATTTGATGATTTTGTTTTAAAAAACAAAACAATTAACTATAAGTGTATTTCATACAATCGGACATTCAAATTTATATTGGAAAGTTTTAATTTACAAGTACATTTTAATTAAATTCAGCTTTATTAATGTTCTACATCCATAACACTAGTGTGGAATGTGCATGTTTGTTATTTGTTTGTGCTTGACCCACTTTTCAGACGAATAAAAGAATTGGAAGAAGAACAGATTAGTTTAGGCCAACAGGCTAGAACCTTTGAATCTGAAAATATGAAGGTAGGTTACCCCACCAACCATTACTAACATAGACTACGAAACAGTGTGTCTGTGAAGACAAGAAGCTGGTTCATAGATTCAAAATATAAATAGACTGGTGGAGTGAAATATCTAAAATCATAAAACCAGTTTATTTCTGCTACATTAGCTCGAAAAGATGGCATGTTTTAAAGTTCTTCCTTATTATGTAAATGGAAGTATAAACATAAAGTGCTTTCGAGACTAGTGTAGTTATGTTAAAAATATGCTTACATCAGATATTTTGTTTGACATTTGGGAGTTTTTGAAAACTAAAATTGAGGGAGTTTGTCAGACATTGTCTGGAGTAAGCATTGTTATGTGTGTTTCATACATGGATAAAACTGCAAGTCCCCTGTTCACGTTTGACTTTAATCCACCCCCTTTTTTAGCCCCTAGGTACATGAACGTCGTGCAGTGTAGCTGAGCATGATACAAAAACTAGCATGCCGTCATTGGTTGAAGTGAGTGTTATTTACACTGAATCCTAGCAACCAGTTTGTTTTTCTTGGTGTCGTCATCTTTATTTTCTTCCACCTTTGCAGCCGTTGCATCTGCTTACGCTGTCGCTGCGACTCGACACCTCCCCCGTTCACATGACCAGTAACGGCCTCTCTTACTTTTCAGCAAAATTACCGAACTCAGTGAAGAGCTGGCTGTGGTTGGTAATAACTGTAAGGCCCTGCAGAACGCCGTAGACCAGGTAAGAGAATATATTAGGGGACTTGCAGTTACCATGTATGTTAGTGCTAACCGTAACATTTGCATTGCAGGAAAATTCTCGAGCTGGAGGAGGAATTGAAGGTTGTCGGCAACAATATGAAATCACTTGAAATAAGTGAACATGAGGTAACAGATCGTGACACAAAACAAAAACAAACAAAAAAAATCACACGGGCATGGTGTGAATGCTGCCTGCCGAAAAAAAAAATGAGCCAGGCGTCTGTGCTTGAAATCTCAAAAATGTTGATATGTGCATGTGTACAAATACACTGCAATGATTGTCATAAATGTGTAATCTTACATGTTGTACTATTAGCTCTGCGCATTTATGATTTAATAGAATAAAAACCTTCAATAGTTCTTGTTTGGCTAATTTTCTTAAAACAAAAATTTACATTGGCAAATGGTTATCAAAACACATGTTTTCATTATTAATCATTACAAAGTTTTGTCATGTTTTTAGAATGAAATTATTTGATATATATTGAAGGTTTAGATTCAGAGATATTTTTGTTTCCAGTTGATATGAGGGATTTTGTCTGCGGACGTCAAAGCTGACTTAGCTCTTTGCCAGTCATGTCTTGCTTGTATCTACGTGTTGTCAGTTCAATGTGTTTTCTTCTCTTTTTACACGTCTTTCTTAACATTCATTTCAGTTAGCATCGGACCGTCGATTAATAGGCAAACCCTTTCTTAATGCTATTTACCAAATTACAGTTAGAAATAGTTCGTTACAGTTTAGAATGTGAAAGATTCACACTAAACTAGAACATTGGGTTTGCTTTTGAGAAATACATATATTAAATTTGGTATCTGAAACAAAAATATTTTCGTTAACTTGTTTCATAGGAAAAAAATAATCTTGAAATGAATTGGTTGAATAAGAGTTTGTGTGAAATCACGTCAGTGATGGAATCTTGAGTAAACTAGCATAGAAAGGGACATGCCTAATTTACATGATGTAGTATAGACTAGTATATGTAATTTTAATTTACAGCCTGTAAACAAGTCTTTAATTGTGTTTCAGATTTTCGTGCGCATATTTTACATTACTGCACAAGCTAACAGGAATGCCAATTATTTCAACATTTTTTTATGTCAATTTGTCAAATATATAAGTTGCTTTGACGCTGCATGCGATATGCTCATTTATGACAGGATACTTTGGTAGTACTAGCTCATTAAAACTAGCTTTAATATTAGTACAATGAATAAAACAGTATGCGCTCATTCATTCAGATATTTCATTTATGCAAGCTGATTTAGATATTTAACATAATGGTATGTCATGACAGAAACGAAAATTAAAACAAAACCAAAAAAAAATCTTGTGTAAAAGCGTCATAAGAAACTTATACCACTGTATGGTTTTAAAATATGCCAATCTGCCGGAAGATTTATTTTTGTCTTCTATATAACAGGTTAGGTACAGGTCATCGTTCATACATAATCATTTGAGGTGCATTGCCTGCTTGATTTCAAACATTGGAAACTGCTTCATTTATATCAAGGAAGTTGACAACAAATATGGTTAATTAATGTTAAATATTACTGGTTTAGAAGTACCCAGTATTATTGCTGGCTGCTGCAGACTCACCTGCTGGCCTTTTCTGCCATAAATAAAGTACTTAAAAATCACGGTCAGTACTTTACAACAAGTCACCTTTAACTCTTTAGCAAAACACTGTAGTCTCATGCATTAATTCTCCATGTCTGGGCCTGTGACACCATTCGTCTGAGTATTTGATCTATCATAATAAAGTCTGCACTGATATTTTCAGTCAATTAAACACAACACACTGCATGAAAACACTAAAGTTAGTAGTATTGAATTAACATGACATATTCTTAAAATACAGTTGATACAAGTCATTAAGAATGCGGCATGCGACATTTGTGCAAAGCAATATATTTCTTATTTTTTATACATTACTGTTATTATATGAAGTAGGGCTTTATTTTTAAAATAAAACTCTAGTTTTCTGTGAAATGATAAAGAAGAGCATTAATCTAGATTTTATAAATCCTGAACATGAAATGGACTTGTCAAGTTCCAATTAATTGGACTGTGCATTATCAATTTTGGGTAATCAAGATTAAAATTTAAAGTTGCAACAACGAAGATTCTGGTTAGTAGACCTGATACACGGGCGTTAAAGGATGACAATAAGTTTTACTGTTTAGCTAAAAAACAAAATGTTTTGTAAGATAACGTTCTTTGAAGATTTCACAGAAGACTTGTGTTTCATGCTATCGAAATTGTTTTTACCTGTTGTTTTCTTATGAATATTACACATATATACGGTAACGATAATTTATTTTAAATATGAATGTAAACTAGATCTTTATGATTATTGCATCAATAAAATTAATAACATTATATTTTCTTTCAAAAAAGTGACCTGCTGTAGAAAAGATATGCTTTAAAGATGCATCAATAAGATTTTGTTTATTGTCTTAAAATGTTACAAAGATTTTTTTCGTAAATATTAGAAACGAGTTGCATTGAGTTCAATAAATTATAATATAAAAAAATGTCTAGTCCCTGCTCTCAACATCTCTGAATAAATAATCATATCTTGTTTTACTTTGAAATGTGAAAGAACTTTATACAGTCGAGAGTGAAGAATGGAAGTAATCTGTCATATTTTTGTGAAAATTAGAAAAATTAGAAAATCTGCCATCTGTTCTTACAGACCACAAACCTGTAAACTGAAGGTTACTGTTTTGATGTGGCAACTCTGTATAAAATAGATTTAAATTTAAGGCCACATTCTTAGGTACAATATTGATAACTAATTTGTGTGCGTTTTGTATTTTAGGCATCTCAGAGAGAAGACAGTTACGAGGAGACTATCCGTGACTTGACCCAGAGACTCAAGGACGTGAGTACTGATTCTTATATATTTGGGATGTCTCCGGATGTCTCAAGATTCAACAGTTTTATAACATTACTTGACTACACAAATATAAATTTTGTCCCAAATTCTCAAATCATGATTTAAACGAGGGGGCAATGGCAGAGTTATTCACTTCATAGTAATTTTTATGTTTCGGGAAATTTCTGTCAACAAGGTGGTTTGTGCAGGTAGAACTATTTTGGAATTAAGAATTGCACTGTAAAATGTGTAAAATGTTGAATCATGGTCATCCGAAGGGACTTCTCAGAGTTTATGGGTAGTTAATATTAGAATATGGTTGATAAAATACAACTTTATTAATGTAATAAAAAAGCAAAGTTACTACTGTACTATCAAAATAGGACACTTGTCAGATAGGGACCGGGGGCAATTTTAAAATGTTCTGTTAACATGCTGTGTAGTACTAGTATTTAAGTTTATATGGATCCCCCCATACATAGTTTATGCTTTATGAGACATGTATGTAACATCTTGTACACATTGTATGATTTATATTGTATAAATCAGTAGGTAATGTTTGATGGATTGGAAAAATTTCAGGAAAAAATTGTAAATATACTGATTGTTTTATATATGATACTATTTTCCATTTTGCTGCCTCAGAAATAAGGGGATGCATCTGTCTTTTTTATCACAAATACATTGTTTTAAGCTGATTTAGATTTATACGTAGGGAGTATTTTTAACATCAATATGGAGTGCTGGTTGAACAAAGTTATTAATTACTGTTTACTTTACAAAATTGTGTGTGGAATTTTATCAACAACTGGTGCGTCTGTGGTAAAAGGGGCATAACATATGTATATGGCAAAAGCAAGTGAGATTTTCGTCTTTTGCTATTTGTTTTTTGTAGTCTACATTTAGACTAGCTTTACAGTCAGTGCCAGATGCTGCAGTTGTTGGAATGCACATTGTCTTTCGCTGGAGCATATAGCATGTTTAACAAGAGCTTGGCATGCTGAAAGTTTAGAGCAAATCTTTTAAGATGGCTGACCAATATGTTCGTTCCTTTAGTAGACAGTTTCAGTTTCTTTATACGTATGAAAAAGTCAATTATGAACTTAATTGTTGTAAATAACTCTCAGTATATTTACAGTTAAAATGTATCATAACTGTTTATTATTATGTTTTATTTGTATTCCCACAAAAGACTGGTGTTGTAGAACTGTAAAACTGAAACATTCTTTTGTCAAAGGATTTTGCGGAATTTGAATGCACAGCTGTTGATTGTTATAATAAATATAAACTTACTTTGATATAGGCCGAGAATCGTGCGGCGGAGGCTGAACGCGTAGTCAACAAGCTGCAGAAGGAAGTTGACAGATTAGAAGGTAAAGGATGAAACCGCTGACTTGCCCCTCTGAAGGGGTGATGAGCCCCCTGTCCTGAAGCTGCAACATAGAGATATCCCAGTTGAATTGGAATAACACCCTGAAAAAAATATTTCCATCCATTTTAATCATATGTTGTATTTTCATGACTGGAAATTTGAGACCTTGATTTTGATTGCAAAAGATCGTAAAAGTTTTATAATATAATGAACTTTTGGATGTTTTTTGTTTTTTAAATCGTTCATATTTAACATTAAATTTTGAGAAGTAAATAACCCAAATCTTACTTGTTTTGGGGGTATCCTGCTCTTAGAATTGGACTTGACTTGGCAATTTTTGGTTGGCTTTAAACTGGAATGAAATTTTTATTTTACCAACCTAATAAAGTAGGGCTTGAAGGGATATTAAATGATTAATTTAAAAATATAGTAATATTAAAATCCACAAGTAAATATAGACAGTCTAATACAATATCATTTTGTGAAGAATATTAAACACATTGTTGCTAAAGCAACTGTCAACTTCTATCAATTTCAGACATGGCCGAACGGCCAAAAAATGTAGAATTCACTTCACCAATTCCGGTGAACTATGACCCCAAAATGTTCAAGGCTCCTGGTCTTTCCCAACATCAGCTGTGCCGGCAAATTATTACTCACAAGCATTCGACACCTCAGACTTTTAATGGTACACATTCTAGAGTATTTGAATGAGTCCTGTTTACTATCCTCGGAGTGCTTAAGATATTTTATGCAATTTCCCTTCTTATTTATAGACAGCCTGTTATCAACCATACACCCATGCCCCGTCCAAGTATATTAACCTGTATTTTATAAAGTAGCCAGGAGCGAATTATGCATTTGATATATAGTTTACTATTATCTATCCACTTTATTTGATAGTCTGTTACAAGGTTTACATAAACTTAATTATAAAGTAATTAGAAATTCAGCATAAGGTTTTTTGAATGAGTTGACAGTTGCTCGTCAGTTATATGAAGGAAAGGGTAAAGGAAAATTTTTAATTTATGTTATTTGTGCATCTTGTATAATAAACAAGTTGCACAAAAATGGAACACAAAATTAGAGTATTAAAGTACCCTCGAGATGAATTTTGAAGAAAAATCTAAATTTTAACAAACCTTGCTACAGATGGTAAATAAATATATTAGAATTGTGGAAATTATTTCATCCAAGCCTATGTGCCATTGTCTGTAGAAAAAAACTAACAGCATGTTGAAAATTTGTTTTTATTTTTCAGACAATTTGCATCAATAGACAAGCAGTGTTTTGTTTTGTTTCCTGTTTTGTTATTTTCCCTTGCATGAATTTGTTCTTTTGTTTCAGGAAATTTAAGGAAAAATTGCAAAGTCGTTTGTTTAGAATCTGAACTGAAATGTACACGTTTTATATTGGTTAAAATATGTACAGTATTTAGAAAATATCCTAACAAAATTAATATTGTTCAAATACTTCAACAACTTTGCAATGTTTCAAGCTTATGATACTGAAGTCGTGTTACTGTCACCAATAAACGTGGTTAGTTTATAAAATAGCTAACTTTATACCGTGTTTGACCGTGTGCTGCATTTTGATTATTCTTGTAGTTATATTTAAAAGGAACATCCAAAAATAACATTGATGTTGGGAATTTGAAAACTTGTCTTTGCTATAAAATTTCTTAATCAGAACATAAGATCAAGGCTTATAAGCTCAAAGACAATGACAATTAAAATGAATTTCCAGAGTAATGTTATTTCTGGATGTTTGAGCATATATAGTTACGAAGATATTCAAGAATGAATGACTTGTTTTGTGTTTTAATTGCATGTAATTTATGTTTCCCTACCAGAAAGAGCGTCGTTTGGAGGATGCTGAACGAGAAAACACACGGCTACTCGCGGAAGTAGATCATTGTGAAAGTATGTTTAAATATTTATCAAATGATTTCTCATTTATTTCGGTATCTTAATGTCTATTTAAAAAAGAATGTTCTAAGATATATCTTAAGACTAGAACTGCATTAGATGCAAGATTGAACTGATTTCAAATTCAATATACACAAATGAATTTGTAACGTCCGATTAGCAAAAGCAAACCCCATTCTTTTTCATTAAGAAAATATATGTGCGTGTGTTACATGATTAAAATCACATCATACGCTTGAATCATGCAGAGAGATGTGATAAAGTACGTGAAGACATTAGAATTGTGGAAAATGAGCTTGACTTTGCCTTACTCGCTGTAGAAGGTTTCTAAAGTATGTCTGGCATCACCACACTGTTGGAACAAATGGTTTTACATAAGGGATGGTCACCAATTCACTTTTGAGGAGTAATTTCTCTACAAGGACTTTATATTGCTTGTGATGTCTTGTGATCCAAGTCACAAGGGTTAAAAGATATTTTTGTTCGCATTACATCACGATAAGTAAATGAGTGTATTTAAATGTTTGAGACTAAAATTATAAAATACTTGATAGATGATATCTCATTAGTAGCTCCTCAAAAGATTGCACCGTGTGTGCGTGCGACTGTATGCAGGATAATTGTTTTGATGCATTCGATTTTAATGTTGTTACATATCAGTAAAGTGCAGTGTGGGTAGTGTTTTCTTACTATGCATGGCGCTATTTCAGGGAAATACGACCAATTGATGGAAAGTCATGAGCAAATAAAAATGGAATTGGAGAACACATTTGCTGATCTTGATAATATGTGAGCATGTACCCATTCCATTATTTCATCATTTTATATTTAAAGGTAACTAATCTGCCTTTACTAATTAGGTGATGAATTCATTTGAAATCATCAATCTTCGTGTATCCAATTTATAATTATTATGTATAATCTAATAATGATAATGAAAATGTTATATGGATGTAAAAAAAGGTTACAAGTACTTGTTAAACACGACTCAATTTAATATTTTAAAAGAAGTTTACAAGTTGTTAGGGATATTTCGTCATGAATTAAGCTTTGTCTCTTAAGCAGTTTCAATTTATAAAAGTAATGTCCGGCAAGTTAAGTATATGTAAATCATAAGCATTTTGAGGTGACAGAAAATATGAAAGATTTCAAAATTTACAAAAGTACAAAATCGTTTGCAAAAAAGGGGTGAAAAATTTTCAGGGAAAATAATACTTGCATTTGGTTAACAAAAGAATGGTTTTGATATTATTTATTAGAATAGATGATGGTTGTTGTTGTTTTCTTGCATTGTGTAATAATAACAATGATTACTAACATGAATAGTCTTTCCTTTTTGGTATTCAATAAACCTATAAAAGAATAACGGGACTGTCTAAAATGTTATTTGACTTGTATTGCTTCCTCTTAAGATTTTATAGGTTATGGAAAATCCTTCCTTTACTGCCAGGCTGACCATCTCGACAAGTTTATTTCATCGTACTAAAATCCGTTGAATTATCACGGATTCATTTCCAAATATAATAATAATAAGCGAGCCCATTTCATAAATAATACAAGGATATAGTACTGATAGTTATCAAATTTCATATTATTATTTATTGATTTGAAATTGAATTTTTGAATGATCCTGTTCCAAAAGTACATTCTTGTTAACGATCTAATACATCGAAATGGTCAAATCCCATATGAGAGTATGTGTGGTTATATTTTGAAAACATTCAGATTTCTCACTACATCGTTACTATTCGTACTTTTCTGTACATGTAAAAGGCTCTATAAAAATTCATTCTAATCCCCATGTCTTTGTTGCTGCCCCATTCAGTGAACTATTAAGTTCCTATTTTATTTAAAATGCATTTACAGTATATTCTATAAAGTTCATAATTAACTAATTTGATGTCTTTTAATTTCATAATTAATTGGTATGAAGTTCTTCTAGTTATATAACTCTTAGATATACTAGTATATAATTCTTTATAAATTCTTTATAATTCTTTATAAATGATGAAATAACAATTGCTCGTAGTTTTGTAAATTCTTCATTGTCTAAGAGTTTTCTTTCTAAATAATTTGCTGTATTTCAAATTTCTAATTAAAAGATGTTTCAATTAATGCACTTCAGTTTCCGTTAATGTTCAATCGTACAGACGTTTAAAGTTTTTTGCTTGTATTTTGGTTTCACACTCGATTTGTTTTTTTTTTTTGTTTCAGATGAATTACTTGCTGAAAAGGAGAAGTACAAGGCGATTAGTGACGAATTGGATCAAACATTTGCTGAGTTAGCTGGCATGTGAGAACATCAACTTTTGTCAGACAACAAGAAAAATACACTTCATTTACATTTCTACAAAGCCCTGTTTCGCTGTTATTGATGATGGAAAAAAAAAACATTCTATGCAAAATGTTAACTTTCGGACAAAAGCTGAAGTGATTTTTTAATGGAATATGAAAAGTTTATTTATAAGTTTCAGACTTTAATAATGTTATTTGTATATTTTTAAGGACAGATGTAGAGTAATTGATACATGCTTTACGGCTTATATAGTATTGTAAATTTATGTGTATCTGTGTGTTTTCCGCAATATCACAGGAAAGAATTATAAGCAACAGTGGTCTTTCTTTCATTTACTGTTTTTTATTTAAGGCTCTTCGTGTTGCTATGTTACTGTTAGGTCTAAGTGGGTGTTCTTTTTTTCTTTCATATGCACAGAGAATTCAGCAAATGGATTTTAAATAGTCGCTATATTTACTAAATGATACAATGTATTAACAGACATATAACTTTGAACAAATAATTTTTTTATTACGGAAAACGTCTCCTGCCTTAACCACAAAAAATTGTATGTATGTATGTATGTAATTAAAAGATTGACTCTATTCAGCCAAATCTTTTTGGGGTTACTTGCTTCTGACATACACCAGGTTTCATTTTGCGGAAACTTTCGGTTTTAACTGCAGCAGCTGCCGGTTTACTGAGAACATGTTGTTGTGGAAACTGTCGGTACTGCACCGCTCCTTACGCACGTGTCCTTTTATATTGACTTTGTCTATACGCCATATGTGAATAGATGTCAAGTCATATTGAAGGCTTTATAGGGATATGTGTTGAAAGGGTTTCGAATGATAAGTAGCCTCAATAAATTTTGGCTATGTTAATGAGAATGTGGGAGCCATTTGGGTTAACAATGTTGAAGTGTGTCGAGCCTGAGTGGCAAAAGATATTGTTATAATAAGGTCCGCAGTGGACTTACTAAAATTATCTGAAGCGTATTTAACATCAAGCTTGATAATAAAAAAAGAAACACGCATCATTTACCATCATGATACACTGAACCATCTGTATATTGAAGAGAAAATAAATATGGCAATATCCAGCCCCCTTCTGCCATTCCGCTCATCACCTTCAACATCTCCCCATTCTTAAGGTGTATGTTCTGTTATAGAAGTTATTTTGATCATTTTTTCGTGTAAAAAATGACTTGTAGCCCAAATATTAAGATCTTCATTTATATCATTTACAGAAATTTATTTACTGTGTAAATTGCAAACTATTTTGTATTAAAAATTGGTACCAATTTTAACTTTTTTTGTGTCATAGACAATTGTGTAATCATTTTTATTATCGGTAAACAGTTTAGTTTACTAAACTTGTTCGGAGATGTTCGGTGTATAGGGAGATGTTGTATATTATGTCTTCGGAACTTACGTAGATAGCTTGGCCTTCACTGCATTCTTCCTGGATATTGCCAACTTTGATTTTTAACCTTCAATAAAAAAAATCATATTGTTATGCTTAAGTATTGTTTTTGTTTTATCCCCACTGTAAGAGAGATAAAAAAAAGATGTTATGGAAGCGAGCTATGTGTCAAGAAAAATAATTGAAAATAACAACACTATGTAATGCACGTGACGAATATATATTATGTGGGGGAAGTGTTAAAAATTACCTTAAAATTGCCTAAATACACATTTTTGAATAACTGAATCCCTTAATAAATGCATTGCGTTTTTAATAATCGCAGCAAATGAAATTAAAGTTGATGATAAAAAAAGTGAGCAATCCTAGCTATAAGACCTCAAAATTATTCAAGCATTGTTGTGAATGGGAAATGAAGGACGGTTTTGGAAACCGAGGAAAGCTTGGTCTTTTCCCTAACTCTTGTTTTTAACAGACCCCGTGGTAATCTTTTGGCCGTACATCATTAAATATCTAAGCTGTAAATTTTATAAAGGGAAATAACAAAAATGATTAAGAAAAAAATCTGGTGGTTTAAAAAAAGCGATACTTGAATAAAAGTTTTCCTGGCCACTATAATGATTGACTGGGCTTGTAGACAATTATTTTGCTTGCCTTTGGTCGGAGAATCGTTGTGATTATCCAACGCCCATATTTCAAAGTCGGTCATGACTTAAAATCGGATACATTTGTGTAAATAATTTTAAGGTCAGATCTGGATTTGAGTTGTAGCACAATGTTGCCGCTCACTGGACTCGTTTCAATTTTAGTCCTGGGTTGTGCTTACTGTGACTTGACAGCAAAACATCACAAAGGGCCATGATGCCACAAAATTTAATTAAAAGTCGTTTTACAAATAACGTTTGGCAAAAGTAAACCGATATTTAATATTTTTGCGAAAGGTCAGCATCACTTAAAATTCTCGTGACCTGTTTTTAACCAGCTCGATCTGAAAATGATAAGACTTTGTCACCCGTATAGAGCCAGACCAGGAAGGCACTCTACTGTCAGTAGCTCAGTATCAAAGAGATCCGTAATGCAAATTCAGCAGGCTAAGATTTAATAATTCACAGCGATATGATGATCACTATATAGAGGATATTGAATGAGTGTGGGTTCAATACTAAATTCAATGAACGAGTTCGATAAAACCATATGCAAACCTCTGGCGAACGAGCATAATGTCTTTTCATTCAACTAGTTCAATAAATTTAGTATCGAATGTACACGAATATAGTATTCTGTTTCAATAACATACTAAAAATATCAGACCTGTTTACAGCGAAAAAGAAACACTTTTACAGTGACGTTCATACAATTTTTATAGTGTGACGCATACATTCAACGCGTCTTTACACTGTTTGTATTACGCAAATGACGTCGCGTCAAAATATATGCACGGGGCGTGCAATAACGTAAGCGGCACGGGTGTGCGATAAACTATAAATTGTCACGGAAAACAAGTCGTACAAGGGAGGGAACACAGTAAGACTGCATTTCAGATAACGTAAATTAGTTGGTTCTATTGGTAGTAAGAAGTCGACTTGGAGCTTTACTCGTTAAGGAAAACCTCACGTGTGCCTCCACGCATTATACAAGACAGAAAGGGGCACCTGCGTAGAATCACCATCACTCACGTAAAAGAATTCAAAGTCTCTGGCAGGAGTCGAACCTGCAACGTTGAGGAGCAAAGGGTTTGAAGCCAAATACATGTACCTTATCCACTCGGCCACAGACGTCCCAAACAGTAATTCAACTGTAAAATATTTATTATTACGTAAACGTTTTCTGATATAACTGGAATGAATGTATATTCCTTTAGTTACATAATTATTTAATAGAAAAAAATGAAATATAGATGTATACTACCCAAAATTTGTCTAAGATTGTATTCATTCCTTATATAATGTTTAAACGTAAGAATATTTGCTGTGATCCTGAAAATTTGTTAATTTGACATCGGTTTTGCGCCGAAAAGAAATAAGCCGACAAAGTGTTGAAGCGGAACAGGAGTTGAAACTTGGTTGATGCAATAATTAATTAAATATAACGTAAAAAAAGATTAGGCCTTTTGGCTTTTTTCTTAAAAAAAATGAGGACGGTGCCCGAAGTGGGCTTTGGTATCAAGTGTGGTGGCCACTTGATTGGATTACTGCTAATGGTGTGTGGTGGGCTACGAGCCCACTTGTCCAGAAGTGCCTGTTAATTGGAGCTCTGGAACCGTAGTTGGCTGGACTGGCCGGGCAGATATTGCGGTCTGCATCATGCCCTTGACATGTTAAATTGGATCAAGGTCTGGAGACTTTGCTGGCCAGTCATTATGTTTTATTTGTGTTCTGAAATGTTTTTGAACCCCAATAGACTGGTGTTCAGTGCTGTAAAACTGAAGGTAGACTTGAATGGATATTAAATGATAAATTATCAATACTAGTAATAGTTTATAAAGTCCACATTTAGTAATAAACTTCGATCATTTGGTGAAGAATATTAAACAAACACATTGTTGCAAAAGCAACTGTCAACTTCTATCAAGAACGGCCAAAAATGTAGAATTCACTTCACCCATTCCGGTGAACTTACATCATCTAGGCCGGCAAATTATTACTCACAAGCATTCGACACCTCAGACTTTTAATGGTACACATTCTAGAGTATTTGAATGAGTCCTGTTTACTATCCTCGGAGTGCTTAAGATATTTTATGTAATTTCCCTTCTTATTTATAGAGAGCCTGTTATCAACCATACACCCATGCCCCGTCCAAGTATATTAACCTGTATTTTATAAAGTAGCCAGCAGCGAATTATGCATTTGATATATATAATTTACTATTATCTATCCACTTTATTTGGTTGTCTGTTACAAGGTTTTCATGAACTTTTTTTATAAATTAATTAGAAATTCAGCATAAGGTTTTTTGAATGAGTTGACAGTTGCTCGTCAGTTATTATGTAGAGGAAAGGGTAAAAGAAAAATTTAACCAAATGCTATTTGTGCATCTTGTATAATAAACAAGTTGCACAAAAAATGGAACACAGAATTAGAGTATTAGAGTATTCTCGTGATGAATTTTGAAGGAAAACTAATTTTTAACAAACCTTGCTACAGATGGTAAATAAATATATTAGAATTGTGGAAATTATTTCATCCAAGCCTATGTGCCATTGTCTGTAGAAAACACTAACAACATGTTGAAAAATTGTTTTTATTTTTCAGACACTATGCATCAATAGACAAGCAGTTTTTTGTTTTGTTTCCTGTTTTGTTATTTTTCCTTGCATGAATTTGTTCTTTTGTTTCAGGAAATTTAAGGAAAAATTGCAAAGTCGTTTGTTTAGAATCTGAACCGAAATGTACACGTTTTATATTGGTTAAAATATGTACAGTATTTAGAAAATATCTTTACAAAATTAATATTGTTCAAATACTTCAACAACTTTGCAATGTTTCAAGCTTAATATGACACTGAAGTCATGTTACTGTCACCAATAAACGTGGTTAGCTTATAAAATAGCTAACTTTATACGTTTGACCGTGTGCTGCATTTTGATATTCTTGTAGTTATATTTAAAATAAACATCCAAAAATAACACAGAGAGATCCGTTATGCATATTTAGCAGACTAAGATTTAATAATTAACAGCGATATGATGATCACTATAGACCCTTTCATTTATTTAAGACCGTATTCAAGTTGTCGCTCTTTGATGATCTATCATTGGGGGATACGAGGTTCTTTGCCGATACGACTTAGTACAAAATTAAAAGAGATATGAAGATCTATATCCTTACTCTTCTAAGACGGGCTGTTTAAATTGCCGAAATTTAGTATTTTTCATAAAAAGATGGTTAAATGAATCACAATTAGTTTATAACGATATCTTCAACACTAGATCATGGCTTAGTACCTGTTTCGTTTGAATCAGGGATTTTAGAGGATATTAAATGAATTAAGGTTCATTACTTAATGGATTGAACGAGTTCAAAATAAAAACATATTACTAGTATGCGAGCCTCTGGCAAACATGATACGGTTTTATTCAACAAGTTCAATAAATTTAGTATTGAATCTACACGAATGTAATACTTTATTTATCACATACCAAAAATAAGAACTGTTTTACATATATAGTGTAACGCTAACATTCAACACGTCTTTACACTATGATTATGTAACGCAAATGACGTCGCGTCAAAATATATGCAGGACGTTCAAAAGCGTCACGTCACGGGAAACAAGTCGTAGAGAGAAACAAGGGAGATAACACAGTTGCACTCCAGATCATGTAAATGAGTTGGGTTTTTGTGGTCGAGTTTCATGTCGCACAAACACTTTAACGTCAGAAGTCGACCTCCAGCTTTACTGGTTGATGAAAATACAAGTGTGCTTCCATGCATTATTCCAGGCACGAACGGGCACCTTAATAGAACCACCAACATTTGATCAGTAAGCTAGCTGGACAGCTTCCTCACATGAAAATGATACTTGTAACTCTCACACACACGTGAAAGCATTTAAAAGTATCTGGCAGGATTCGAACCCACAGCAGTGAGGAGCAAGTGGTTTGAATTCAATTACCTTAACCAATTGGCCACGGCCGTCCCAGATAGTTATTGTAATTATAAAAGATTCAATATTCTGATTCATAAGGAATGTGTATTTTTTTCTTTCTTTAGTTGTATATTATTAATAGAAAATACCAACAAGAAAATGAAATATATATGTATACTACTCAAAAATGTGATAAGGATCTTTTCTTAGATTGTATTTATTCCTAACATTATGTTGAAACTATATCCCAGGCCATGATTGAGACGCCGTCAAAACGGTCATGATTAGACATGCGTACGGGTACTAAACGCCCATTAAACGATCTCCATACCAATATTCGTCTATCAGTTAGGTTCACACCAAATTTTAATTCGACAGTGAACAGTACTGGGTAATGCCATTCAACGTCCATCTGTCATGAGCGTGAGCCAAGTGGAAACGTTTTTTGATGTGGTTTCAAGTCAATGGGGTTCGAATTGTTGGTCGTCTGGTCCCCATGTCAG